AAGAAAGAAAGAAAGAAAGAAAGAAAGAAAGAAAGAAAGAAAGAAAGAAAGCTGAGCGAGCCGGGAAGCAAGCCAGTCAGCAGCTCCCCTCCACGTCCTCTGCATCAGCTCCTGCTCCAGGATCTGGCTCTGTTTAGTTCCAATCCTTAGATGATGAAAAATGACATGGAAGTCTAAGCAAAGTAAACCTTCCCTCCCCAACTTGCCTTTGGACAAGGTGTTTCATCTCAGTGATAGTAAGCCTGACTAACACACACAGTTAGACCCCAAAGCCCTGAACTGTGTACATGTCTGCACACACGTGTGTTAAAAGCTTTCAGAACATCATTTCTATGACTGAAAGCCCCACCACGTTTTCTAGAGAAACGGACACAATCCACTTCATTTCAGATAAATTATCCTCGAACAGTAGTTCTCAACCTTCTAACACTGGGACCCTTGAATCCAGTTCCTCAGGCTGTGGTGACCCCCAACCATAAAGTTCCTTTCATTGCTACTTTATAACTGTCATTTTGCTACTGTTATGAATCGTAAAGATTTGAATTTTCTGACGGTCTTAGGCAACCCCTATGAAAGGGTCATTCGACCCTAGAGGGGTTGTGACCCACACGTTGAGAATCATTGTCCTAGGGCACACTTCATTCAAACTTTGATTTCTTTCGTGTAATAAAACTTCCTGAGCTTTTCACAAAGCATCAGGATATAAAGTGTAACCAGAAATCAAAAGTGGGTACATGTTGCCTATTCATATGCATTTCAAAAATAGAGAAGCTTTTAAAATGGTGAGAAACCATCTAAAAAGTTTTACTGTAAGCAACAGGAGAAAATACATTACAGTTACTAAGTCAAAACTACAATAAAGCTAAAATTCTTCAAAAGTACACTTATTTAAAGTCAAAGAAATCAGAATCAAAGTAACCACTAAAGAAGTGTGTTAGATATATTTAGTACAAACAAAGATGAATTTCAGATTTTGCTACATTCAGAGTTGGATAAGAACTAAACTTTTTTGGTTACCATATTCTTTCTAGTAGCTGAACAATGGTAACAACTCAGTTACAATAGTTAACCTTGGTAATTCAATCTAGTAATTCCTGGCTTCTACACACAAATGAATAAACACCAACAGCTTCATCAGCATGGATTAGTTCAAGCTCAACAATGAAAACAGCTTTTAAAAAAATGAGGATCCTCCCAGAATTCTTGATCAATCCCCTTAAAAAGTTTTCATCACAAACGATAATAAAACTAGCAATGTTTACTAATTATAAAATTTTTATTCTATACATTTCGGAATATATAGTATCTAAGTTATTTTTATGTTTTCTAAAATGCGAGGCTTCTATTATTTCTGGGTTCCGTTTGTTTTCGTGCTTATTTATTTGAATCAACTCTAGGACTTTCTTACTGTTGTAAAAATCTGCTTCTCTCAGATTTCATAAAAAGAGCTAATAGTAATCTTTAAAAAATCATCTGAGCTGGGCGGTGGTGGCGCACGCCTTTAATCCCAGCACTCGGGAGGCAGAGCCAGGCGGATCTCCGAGAGTTCGAGGCCAGCCTGGTCTCCAAAGTGAATTCCAGGAAAGGCGCAAAGCTACACAGAGAAACCCTGTCTCAAAAAAAAAAAAAAAAAGAAAAGAAAATCACCTGATTCTCACATTCTTATACTTCCATTTAATACTGCACTAATGGAGCATGCCGACTAGTGAGGACGTGAAGGCCACCGGCTTTCCTTACACAGCACATGCCAGTTTCTTCCCTGAATGAAAATCCGAAACGCAGAAACTTACCAGGTCTGCAGCGGGGACTCCAAGGCCAGGCAGCAGGGAACAGGAGGGAAGGGCCCCTGACAGCAGCCAGCTCTAGATAAAGCCTCCCCCATCTTAATATTTCATATTTTGTACTAAAAAAAAAATTGGTGGCAAATAAAAAAAAAAGATGACAACGGACAGCTCTCCGTGACGGGAAGTGACAAGGCGTCCTTGGCGAGTTACCTCTTTGCAGTCTTTCACAAGTGGCTGGATCACACTGAGGTCCTGGTGGCTGCCACTCATGGCACTGCTGGTACTTTTATTCCTGGTGTGCCCCCTTTTGAAAGGGGTCTTTCCAGCCGCCAGGGGCTCCTGGGTCGGTGACGTTGGAGAGCTGGACAGCACGAGTGTCTTCAGGGCGGCCACCTCGGCTTGAAGTACGTCAATCTTGGAGAGAAATCAGCACCGTCACACACACAACACGCTTTACAACAGATGTGGCCGAATGCCAGCAGTTTGGTCAACACGCTTTCAAGGACAAAAATAAGTTCAATTTGTATTTTCTGTGGGGTAACGGAAGGAAAGTAATCCAAGTTTTTTGGGTGTCCACATGGCTTGGATTCAGCTGCCAGCAATGTCAAAAGGAAAAATTTAAATGGTCAAAAAAAAAACCCTAACATTAATGTGAATTTTCAAAATCATTAAGATATATTAGCTTACGATTAGCCATAGTTCACTCCTAAAATAATGAAATCTATTTAGATGTCTTTTTTTCCAGTGTATTAAGAAAACAAGTATCAACTTTTAATTGTGACTATCGAATCCTTTTATGTGATTTACACAGTTTTACAGAAGTTGGCTGTGATACAAATGCACCAGTGTTCAGGGTCAATGGCACCTAAATGCACCTAACTATGATCTTGTTCATGGTTTTTGCAGTTTCCAAACGTAAAGCAAGCACCGCTTCTCCCATCAGAACAGCGCCAACGGTTGCTAAGCACCGTGGAAACAGGGATGACTGACATCCTCCTAGTCCGTGACTAAGGCAGTGAGACTCACTTTTCCTTGGGCTTCCTTCAGCTGCTTTTCCGCCGTGGCCTGCTTGACATTCGCTTCCCTCACCATCTTGTGGGCTTCCTGAAAAAGTCAACACCTCACATTGTGGAGACGAAGTGTGTTAGCATGCATTTTTCAAAGCACGTTTCCGCAGCTACCCCTGACTGAAGCAAAGACAGACTGCCGAGTTCTACCCTGGCACTAAGTTTTCATGGTCCTCTCCAGGAAAAGCAGTTGGCATTAGAAGAACAGGAGGGTAAAGTGTGGACCAGACACTCTCCACTGAGCATCTATTAGCCACTGTGGCAGCCAAGGTGGGTCGGAACAATCCAACAAACACCTGCGTCGGGACTGTGACCGTTAAATGGACAGAGGACGACGGCAGGGCAAGCCACGTGTTTGCAACTAGGGGTCTGAAACTCAATCAGGGTACACACATCTACGGTTAAGTCGCAGAAAAAAATGCAAGAAAGGGATGAGCAAAAACTGTGAACACCCCAACAGGAGCGACAACTGAGGAGTTTCAGTTTCCAGGAAACACGAATAAAATGATACGGTGAAAACTGTACTGTGCAGCGTGACCTGGGAAGGGAAATCAGTCTACTCTCTAGCGGTCTTAACTTTCTCATGCAGCAGACAGGACACTGCAGGAAACCACAGTGCGGACCTGCCTTTTAGTCATAAACATCTACTCATGATGTCTCTTTACGTGGTACTGTTCCAGGTTCTGACAACGAACCAGGAAGAGACAAAGGCCCTCCTCCTGAAGAGCACGTGCTCAGGGAACGATCTAACGATGACCAAATTGGGGTGATAATCCGGATTTTATTCTAAGCGAAAGATGAAGTCTTTTTTTAAGAAAGAGAATAACGGCCGGGCGGTGGTGGCGCACGCCTTTAATCCCAGCACTCGGGAGGCAGAGCCAGGCGGATCGCTGTGAGTTCGAGGCCAGCCTGGGCTACCAAGTGAGCTCCAGGAAAGGCGCAAAACTACGCAGAGAAACCCTGTCTCGAAAAACCAAAAAAAAAAAAAGAAAGAGAATAACATGATCTCATATTTTAAAGATTATGCTTTTGTGCAAAAAAATCTGTACAGGAGATTAAAATGGATCCGAACAACATGGGATTTAAGAGTTCGTATTTCAGAAATTTATATATCCAAAGGAGATTAAGATATTTAATAAACACACGGTCTGATGACGACCGAGGCCTGGGAGCTGCCGAGTGGCAGTGGAAATCTCCCTCAGAGGGCGCCATGGCCCTCACAGCGCCTCACTTGCTCTTCCGGTATATGGAACTGGACAGACAGCAGCTTATCTGTCTTGTGAACATGAACCTCGGATGACAATAAATAATCGAATGTTCACCATCAATGATTTATAACGAAATGAGATGAACCACAGATATACTTCCTGCACCATTGCCCTGCTTATCTGGCAAAGTCCTTAAGAACCGTCAGATGTAGAGAGTTCAGCATTTTCCTTTGGAAAACCACAGTTGTTGCAGAATTGCTGAATTTCCCTGGGAGAAGTTGGGGCTGTCAAAAGAAGACTATCTGGCAGATATTTTCAAAATAATAAACCTGCCTACTCTGAACCTCTCCTAAGATACGAGACATTTAAGTCTAAATGCAGAAGACACTAATGCCAGCCGGAGGACCTGCTGACCTGGCTGGCAATGGACTCAATGTCAACTCTGCAATCTGACTATGTGAATCAAACTTCTTAGAGAGGAGACCGGGAAGAACTGACTTTTAAAATGTCTTTGAAAGCATCCGAGAGAGAAGGAAATAAGTGAACAGCTAGAAGCAAGGCCAGGAGAAAACCCGAAGGGAGAGACAAGGTGACCTTTCCAGCTGCAAGAGGGACACTGTGAAAGACAGACATGTGTAAGCGATGTCCCCGAAGAGGAGGGTGCTAGCCTGCGGCACAACCGTCTGAGGAGAGGAAGCATAAGGCACGGACCTGCCGATCAACGGCATGTCAGAATGCAGGATTCCTAACTGTTCGGGTCATTTTCTTTCGCTGTCTTTCTGACGGTGACATGATGGAAGCCTATTTCACCAGGGCCTCCCCAACTTTCTCCACCTGAGATGCCAAGAACACCACTTCTAGGGCAAAATGGCAGAAGTGTGTTTACGGCCATTTCAGAAACGGTTAAAACTGTTTTTTAAATACGTAACTTGTATTAAAAATTTCTCTGACAATTTGATATGTGTACGCAATGCATTCTGGCTACTTTCACCCCACCCGTCCCCTCTCCCTCCTACCCGCCACCTTCCCTTTTAAAGTCCCTTTCTCACAGTCATGTCTTCCCACACGTGACATCTACGTGACCACGTTTTGAACTATCCACTGGGTCCTGGTGAGCCAGCCTAGATACAAGTGGTACACAAGTAAAGACAACCACTGCATCCTCCTCAGCACCCAGCAGGAGCCAAGAGTTCATCAGGGTGGGGTACGGTCCCGTGAGCCCCTCCCGGGCCCTGCTGAACCGGTGACAGGCCCAGTCTTGTGCAGGTCCAGGGCTGTGAACACAGCATTTCTGCAGCCCTCCTCCATATCTCCTGGCTCTTACATTTTTTTTTTTGGGGGGGGGGTAATTTCTTTTTTATTTACTTTTTGTTTTTTTGCATCCCAATCAAAGTTTCCCTCCCTTCCCTCTTTGTAGTCCCCCCCCCTTCTTCCACTCCACTCCTCTGTTTCTCTTCAGATAAGGGCAGGCCCCCCTCCTACGGTGATCAGCCAGCCATGGTACATCGAGCTGCAGTGAGACTAGGCACCTCCTCTCCTACTGAGGCTGGACGAGGCAATCCGGTAGAAGGACAGGGTCCCCAAAGCAGGCAACATAGTCACTGATAGCCCTTGTTCCCACTGTTAGGAGTCCCACAGGAGGACCAAGCTACACAACTGTAACATATACGCAGAGGACCTAGGTCAGTCCCATGCAGGCTCCCTGGTTGTCAGTTCAGTCTCTGTGAGACCCTGTGAACCCTAGTTAGTTGATTCTGTGGGTTTTCTTGTGGTGTCCTTGACCCCACAGGGTCCTATAATCCTTCCTCTCCCTCTTCTTCCACAGGATGCCCAGAGCTCTGCCTAATGTTTGGCTGTGGGTCTCTGCATCTGTTTCCATCACCAACTCCTCTGTTTTTCCTTTTAAATAAAACTCAAGCCAACACTTGAAACAGCAATTCTTCTCTTTTAAATCCTTCTTTACATTTGTTCATTTATTTTGTGCGTGCCATGGCACACATGTAGAATCAGAGAACAACTTGCAGAAGTTAGCTCTCCATTTCTACATTTCTATACAGGTCCCAGGGATGGAACTTGGTCACAAGGGTCCTCACCTGCTCGGCCACCTTGCTGGCCCTACAAACAGCAATTTCTGAAAGTCAAACTTTCTGACAATACAATCCAAACACACACTAGTTGGACACGTAAATCCTCAGGAATGATGTAAGAACATATTTTAAACTTTTGTTTTCTGTAGTTAAACCCATATGTTTCTAGAGGAGCAGAAAACCACATACAGTAAAAACACTGCAATTCCTAACAGACTACAGTCCTGAATATGTAGTGAGGCATTTCAGGCGGCATTCACTGGTAGTGGAATGCACAATGCAGTGCGCATATCGCGTGTTCAGAACCAAGGTGAGGCCATAAGCTGTGACACGGGAGAGCTCCGCAAATACCTGAGGTTCACCGCGTGCTTGGTTTCAAGTTAACGCCTGGTGAGTGTCCACCGACACCTTCCCCTCCTGACCTATCCTCCATTCAGTTACACAGCCCCAGTTTAGGGAGCTGGGAAATGACTACAAGTCACCAAACTTCTGTAAAGGGCCAAATGGCATTTGGATTTCAGGACCACGGTTTCTGTTATAATGATTCAACTTTGTTTTTGCACTGTGGAAGCAACCAGAGGTAATACATAAATGAACTGCCTGTCTCAATAAAATTCAGTAACAGTAAAAGTTGTACTTTCTATTCAAAAACAAAAACGAAAACATACTCACCTCACCTTGCCCATATTTTTTTGGTGGTGGGAACACTTAAGATCTACTTTTCAGCCAACTTCCAACGTATCTGCCACCATCTAACCAACATCTTCAATTCTCCCATTCCTCAAGCCCTGGTAACCACAATCTACTCTGCTCCATGACCTCAACTACTTCAGAACCCACGTGGAAGGGAGACCATGTGTCAGGGTCCCTTCCTCACATCATCGTCTAGATTGCCTCAAATGGTAAAATTTTTCTTTAACTTTTAATCATTTGTGTGTGTGTGTGTGTGTGTGTGTGTGTGTGTGTGTGTGTGTGTGTGTGCGCGCGCGCGCGCGCGCGCCAGAGGACAACCTTCAGGAGCAGACCTCTCCTTCACCAGAGGCCCCACCACCGGGGATTAAGCTCTGGTCATCAGCTTGTCCAGCGGGCGCTTTTACCCACTGAGCCCTATCAACCTGGTTTCCCTTTTTAAAACGGCTTGATAGTGTCTACACACACACACCATGCTTCAGATGTGTTCATTCGTTGGTGAGTGTGTGTTCACATCTGGCTCGTGATAATACTACAGCAATGAACATGGGAACACAGATAGCAAGAATAATCTTATTCCTTTTGATATATTCCTAAAAGTGAGATTGCTGACATCTAGTTTCTTTTTTCTTTTTCTTTTCTTTTCTTTTTTTTGTCGTGGGGGCATCTGGCTGTTTTGGTTGTTGTTTAATTTTTTTGTGGTGGTGGTGGGGCATCTAGCTTTTTTTTGATTGTTGTTGTTTTAAGACACAATCTCACTATGTAGCCCTGGCAGTCCTGGAACTCACTGTGTAGACCAGGTTGACCTCGAATTCAGAGATCCTCCTGACTCTGCCTCCTGAATGCTGGGATTAAAAGCACACACCACCACCACCCGGCTCTATTTTTACCCTTTTAAGGAGAAATCTCCATATTTTTGTCTATAACAGCCATACCAACAGTACCACATCCTTGCCTGCACATGCTCTGTTATATTTTGATACTGTGTGGTAACACCTCACTGGGGTTGAGGTCTGCAATTACCTGACTGGTGGTGTTGAACATCTTTTCTATACCTTCTGATGTGTGTGCTTCTCTTGAGAGAAGGTCCGTTCGATGCTCACCCTGCTTTTCATTGTACTGCTCATCGATATTCCTTACATACTGCAATTATCCCCTGGTCAGACACACTCTGCAAATGTTTTCCCACCCACTGCACTGCATGTTAATTTTGGTGACCGGTGTGTACGGGTTTTAGTTTGATGCAATTCCACTTGTCTATTTTTGTTCCATTTTCTGAGCTTTTGGTTTCATATTTAAAAAAATAAAAATTAATTAATTAATTAATTAATAAAGCACCTATCCCGACCAATGTCAAGAACCTTCTCCCGAGTTTCTGCTAGTGTGGCTTCAGGTCTTTTAACTCAATCTATGGGGTTGTTTCTAGTGTAAGGGTTCAGTTGCATTATCTACGTGTGTGCATGTTTTACTGAAGGCACTGTCCTTTCTTCAGTAGGTGTTTACTGGACCCTCATTAAGAATTAGCTGATTACAAACGCACAGACTCATCTCTGGGCTCTACTCAATTCCACTGGTCTACTAGCTTTCATCTTTTCAGTGACGCCGCAGTTCTGAGTGCTGGAGCTTTGTCATGTATTCTGAAATCAGTAAACGTCAAGCATCCAGCCTGACTGCTCAAGAGTATTTTGGCTGTTTGGCTCTTTTGTAGATCCATGTGAATTTCGGGGTATTTTTTCTATTTCTGAAAATAATGTAACTGGGATTTTGATAGTGACTACACTGAATCTATAGATCGCTGGTTACATAAAAATTTAGCTGAACTAATTCTTCCCATCCATGGAATGATTACTTGTGCGTCTTCTTTAATTCCCTTCATATCAACCTACCATAACTTTCAGTGTACAACTCACTGTTTCTAAGGAAGCGATTCTTGTGGATGCTTTTGGGAAACTGTCTTTAATTCCCTTTTTCAGATCACTTGCTGTATATCGAAATACTACTGACTTTTTTTTAAATCTCAAACTTTACAAAGTTCATTTATCAGTTCTGTTTTTGTTGCTGAATCTTTTGGCTTCTCTACATAAATGATAATCATCTGCAAACCTGTTCTGACTAAGATTTAGTACCACATGGCATCCTTGGCTTGGACCAGAGCACAGAAGAAATACTTTCAGTTCCTCCCGGTGATCACAATGCTGCCTATGTTTAATACGTGGTCCTCAGTGTGTGGAATAACATTCCTTTAATACCTCATTTGTTAAAAATTATCATAAATTAGTGCTGACTTTCGTAAGATGCTTTTTCTCCATCTGTTGAGATGATCCCATGGTTTCTATCTCCCATGAACGGAGTGTGTCACACCAGTTGATTTGCTGATGTCGGACCATCCTTGCATTCCAAGAATAAACCCTATTTGGACATGGTATACTGTTCTTGTCATGTACTGTTGAACTCAGCTTGCGAGTATTTCAAGAGTTTTGCACCTTAAGTGTGTCAGGACTACTGGCCTACAGGGTTTTTCTCATGGCATCATCCCATGGCTTTGCCATTACAGTAATACGGACTTTGGAAAATGCTTTTAGAAGTGTGCTCCCTTTTATTTACAATGTTTTGCTTTGTTTTTAGCAAATGTTCGTTATTTTGTTTGACTGTCTGGTAAAGTCACCTGTGAAGCCATCTAGCACTGGACTCTTACGGGTGAGTTGGCCTTGGCTTTGCGGTGTGTGTTACTGACTCAGTGTCTGTCATTGGTCTTCTGTGACCTTCCATGTCATCTTCATCCCATCTTGATAAACTGTTTATTTCTAAGAATTTCTCCATTTCTTCTAGAGTATTTGACTGAGTCTGATTTTTCATACAGGACTCTTGTGACTTTACGAAATCTTCATCCATCTCTTCTTTCGCCTCTTTTTAAAGATTTCTCTTTTTCCCTCTGTCTAGTAGAGGTCTTGGCTACTCCTTTTTTTCAAAAAAGCAACTCTTAGTTTTGTTGATATTTTCCTTTTTTGTCCTTGTTTGTATAACTACTGCATACACTCTGTTACTCACTTCCTCTTGCTAACCTGGGACTCGGTTTGTCCTTTTTCAAGTTCCTTGAGGTCTGGCATCAGGTCGGGTGTCTTCTTGTGGCTCTCTGTGGGCATTACTGTTATGCAGTTTTCCCGGCACTGCTTTTACTGCATCTCAGAAGCCTTTACTGCGCTATGTTCTCAGTGTTTGTCTCAAGAAGTTTCTCAAATTCCTTTTCAATTCCCTCTTTAACCCCACAGTTCAAAGTGTCTTAGTTTCCACATACTTGTGTATTTTGCTGTTTTATTGTTGATTTCTATTAGCTGTCACTGTGGCTGCAAAAGATTGTGGAAATCATTTGTCTTTTTAAATTTATAATTAATTTTTCAATGTAACATGAATTACTCTAGACAATATTTCATGTACACATGAGAAGAATGTGGATTCTTTTGTCATGTGGGAAGTTCTACGTATGTCCGTAGGTACATCTGGTCTAACACTATCCAAACGACTGCTTCTTTATTTGATTTTCTATCTAAACAATGTATCCATTAAATACAAGGGGTATTAGCATCTCCTACTATATATCTACATTGCTGTTTCTCCCTTCAGCTCCAATAGTATTTGCTTTGTACATCGAGGTGCTTTGCTGTTGGGTACATATTTAATTGTATCATCTAATCAAACTGATCTTTTGTCATTATGTAATGAACCTGTCTCTTAATGACAGTTTTGAAAGTGCAATTCAAATAAAACAACGCCTGTTCTCCTTACCAGTTGCACAGAAATCTTTCTCCACCCATTCACCTTCAGGCTGTGTGTATCTACATGTATATTTTGATTGGAGAATTTGGTTTGTTTACATTTAATGTAATTATTGTAAGGTACAGACTTACTCTCCCCATGTTGTCCATTTGTGTCCTCTCTTGTGTCTGTAGTTTCCTTGTTCCTCTTTTCTCTTGTTCTCTTCATTGTGGTTTGGTGGTATGAGCGTGTGTGTGTGTGTGTGTGTGTGTGTGTGTGTGTGTGTGTGTGTGTGGTGTGTGTGTGGTGGTATACTGATTCTTTTCTCTTTTGTGTATCTAATGTAATTTTTATTTTGATTATCAGAACTCAAACTAAAAAGTTCCCCATTATAACACTGATTTCAGCTGATTAATTTCAACTACATGCAGACACTTTAAGATCTGCCAACCCACCGTAAAGCCCCGGGACATGGCGACCTCCACAGTCATGAGCCAGTCCTTTACAAGAAGAGTCTGTCTCTCTGTCTCTGTCTCTCTCTGTCTCTGTCTCTCTCTGTCTCTGTCTCTCTCTGTCTCTGTCTCTCTCTGTCTCTGTCTCTCTCTCTCTGCCTGTCTCACACACAGATGCTCCACTGCATCTGTCTCTCTGTGCCAATGGCACTGTTATCAAGAGTCAAGTAGAGCTGGGTAGAAATCTTGGTCCTGAGGGCAAGCAGGAGATGAAGAGGTGTGCCACCTACTGGCCCTCAAATCACCCTGGACAATGACTACACCTCAAGGGTTTGCCATCATAAAAGAACATTAAAAGTTAAACAAAGTAGCCCCTAAATAACTGGTAACATTTAAAACTCCAGTCACTAACCTCTCCATTTACACACACATGTTTAAACCGCCAGGTACTGATAACCTATGGTATTCTATTTCCCTCTTTACACTATTTTAAATGAGGGACTACATTTCCTTATTATAATCACAGATCATGTTCTCTTTTTTGCTTAGAGGGATTATGAGCACACATGAAGCTAGCCACGTCCTTCTCCAGATTCCTTCACAATCTTCCGTCAACATGTGAAACTGAGATGTTGCTCTTGGCCCCATGGGAACAGACCAACCTCAAACAGACTAGCTGTGAGTTCTTCCAGCTCCTGCCCGAGTTGATCTCGCACTTTCGAGAGCCTCTCACATTCTTCATCTTTTAACTTCAATTCCTATGAGAAATTGATAATTTTGTTTTAGATCTCTTCAGTCTGATATGAGAGTGTAACGATGACATAATAGTTATTAAGCAAATAGTAAAATATTAACACCATCTCCTACATGTTCCTATTGAAAATGCCTAGTCCCTGCTAGATGAAAGAAAACTGGACAACTCTCCAGTAACAACTAATCCCAACATGTTACATTAGATCTCGTCCATGAAACATCCTGAGACTAAACACAACACATAAAAAACACGATTCCCCCTTCGGCTTTTCTCTGAACATGCTTATTTCTATAAAGCGTGTTCTTCTTTCAATTTTGTGTATCAATGCCAATAAAATTAGTTACTTTCTAAAGTTTATTTGGAGGAGACAGATGGCTCAGCCCATGAAATCCCTGCCACAAAAGCACAAGGACCCGAGTTTGGACCCAGAACCCATCCACGTGAAACAGCCAGGCACAGCGGTGCACATCTGTAATCCCAGCACCGAGGAGGCAGAAACCGACAGATCCTAGAGCTCCCTGGCCAGCCAGCCTGCAAACAGGTGAGTCCACACTCAGTGAGGGACAAACACGGGAGAGCACCTAAAGAAGACACCCTGGTGAGCCTCTCATGGCCACACTTTTGCACAAGCATGCACATCCACATGCATCACACACACACACACACTCACACACACACACAATATTATTGTATTTAAACATCAAAATACTCCATTTCATATGCTGAAGTCTCCCTAAACTAACCTTTCAAACACAGATTTTGAAACAACTGACACTCCTTCCGCGTCCCTCACAGTTCCGCTGATGACGTAATGACGAGTCTTGTGACGGTGAAGGCAGCTTAGGTTTTCAATCTCCCAAGGACACTTCCTGAAACCCAGACATCCTAAGCTTGTGAACCTGATGATAAATCCTCAACAGAACTTGGCAGAAGAAAATCCTTGCAAAGCTCAGGATATAAGAGAATGTGTCCTCACTGTGCAGGAGTAGGTGAAGTGAAGACTCAGACCCACAACTCATTACAAAGTCCTCAAAGGATGAGGACTCTCACTTTGGAGACAACTGGAAAAAAGCAGGAAGGTTCCCCAGGCCGCACCAGCAGGTGAATGCAATCAGCCACATGTTCCATCCTTAGGCATCGAGCTGCTAGGAAACTCTTAAGCGCTCACAGAGGGCAGGAGCAGTGAGTGAGAGGCCTCTCCCAGCACAGCCTCGCTCCGAGGGAAAAGCCTGTTCAGAAAACCATCAAAACTCTGCAGGCAGGCTGAGACAGGGCTCTGATCTAATAGTGGGGTGCTGAGAGGGTAAGACCCCCCAGACACACTGCCCTAGAGAAGACCTGGCTGGACAAGGTGTAACTCTCCAAGGAAGGCCACACTGGCTACCCTGCTCCTTGACCCACACCTCCAAATACTCCGCTAGAAACTCAAGTTATATGCACATGAGAAACAAAAATGGATGCGCGAAGTTACAGTTCAACAGAAACAAGACGTTCTGGAATGCTGCTGTACAGCAGGCTGACTCAAGTAACAATGTGCTGAGCATTTCAAAAACCGTAATAAAGGATTTCGAGAACTTTGTCAATAGAAAATTGTGAAGCGCTAGATAGGCTTAACACGATTTAAACATGACACAACATACATATGTATGAAACTTAATAGTGATACATTAATGTATATGATTTTTATGTTTTCTGTCTGTTAAAAACTTTTAAAAGCCAAGTTACCTATAAGGGAGAAAAAAATTAAATGTCTGAAACTTCAACAGCAGTATTTTATGCTACAAAACAACAAAGTAATATTTTTAAAGACTCTCTAGGCTATAAATTAGTGTTTTATATCCAGCAAAACTGTCTTTTTTTTTTTTTTTTTTTTTGGATTTTCGAGACAGGGTTTCTCTGTGTAGCTTTGCACCTTTCCTGGAACTCACTCCATAGTCCAGGCTGGCCTCGAACTCACAGAGATCCACCTGCCTCTGCCTCCCGAGTGCTGGGATTAAAGGCGTGCGCCACCACCGCCCGGCTCCAAACTGTCTTTCATAAGGTCACAAAGTAAAGCACCTGTAGAGTCTCGGGAAATGTCTGCCCTATGAACCTGCTGGAGTGGTGGGACAGAGTAAGTTTCGGTAGCTCAAACAAGGTAAAAACTGCTGAGGCTTTCTTTACTAAGAGCGAAAAGGAAACTGTCGAACCGTGACTTAGAATGAAGCCATGAAGGAGTAAGAATAACTGAGGGGATGACATGATGGGAGAGTGCGCGCCTAACAGGATGAGGCCCTGGGTTCGATCCCTGGGTGGGGGTGAGGACACGGACGGGTCACACACACAGGACGGGGAGGGGACAGAGGAAAGGATGAGTGGAAAGGGACAGAGAGAAAGAACGGTGAGCCACAGATAGGACTTGTAAAAGACCTATGTGCTGAAGACCTAGTATCCAAAATATGAAAGGAATTATTAACATTAATAGAAGAAAAACTTTAAAAATGAACACAACAGCAGACCAAGACATTGCACCAAAGAAGACACAGAGGTGACATGTTTATGAAAGAATGTTCTCAATGTTCTTTCTCATTGAGCAACTGCAAGTGAAAATAAACTGCCACTAGATAGCCATCAGAACGGCCAAAGCCCAGCCACTGAAGACACTGAACGCTGGTGAGGACATGGAGAACAAGAAACTCCATCCCTGCTGCTGGGGGAACAAAGCCCTGTAGTCCTTTTGAAAAATGACCTGACAGCTACTTACAAAACCAGACCCAGTCTTAACACACGACCCAGTAATCACACTCCTTGCCAGAGATCCAAAGAAGTTGCAGACTGAGGCCTCGCACAGATGTTCAGGACTTTACCTGTAATTTCCCAGACCTGGAAGCAGCCAAGGTATCCGTTACTGGACAAGTAACTGTGGTCAATCCACATAACGGATGAGCACTTGGGGGTAAAGGAAGTGAGCAATGCAACCATGGAGAGAGATGCAAGAAACGTAAATGCGTGCCGCTAAGTGAAAAGCCGACCGGAAGCTGCATTTCATCCCGCACAAGATGCAGATCTGCAGAGGTTTTGAAAGGACACAGGACCCGGGACAGTGCTAAGAACGCAATGCCCAGTGAAACTGTACATACTCCTGACCAACACAAAAGGAAACAGCAAGACTCCCAGTCAGCTCCCAGAAGACCGGAGCCACAGCGAGGCTGTCACTCAGAGGCAGAACCTACCAAAGCTGCATAAACTCCGCCCACTAGAGAACTCAGGAGCTTGTATCATTCACCTCCTCAGAGTTCGTCCTTGACTCACACTCTAAACAGGGTCGCTCCCCAGTCTGGTCCAAACCATCTGAACTTTCCCCACAAATGACTGGTGCCTACGTTTGTCCGTATGCTTCAAGGTCCGACTCAGACAATGAAAATGAGGAAAGATGTGGTGTCCGCCTGAATCCTTTTAACATTGGTGCTCTTCCTTATCAGTACTCTGTACTTTAACACGGTTATTCAATCCTCACCCCTTCAACAAATGCTAACTTTGCTAACTCAGGCGATCGTCTTGGTGCTGGAGACAGAATCTGAGAGCAAATTCATGGTTTTCCTCAAGTCACGGTCTGATGAGGATCGCAAAGCCTCTCGGCAGACTCACAAGGAAATCTGTAAGTGATGACGGGCGTGTGTCAGGACAGCAGGGGTCTGGAGCAGATGATGACGTGGAGGGTGGAGGCCACAGGAAAGGCAGGGTATTGACCTGTCTCAGGCAGCAGATAGGAGGGCAAAGTAAGAAATAGGACTTTGATAAGAGAATGGGGGTCTCTGAAGGATTCTAACCAAGGTCAAATTAAGAAAGCAACCATCATATTTGCCACTCAGGATCTATCACTTGTACAGTTTGGCTAAGTTTAAAAGCAAACAAACAAAAAAACCCCACTGGAGGAACAGATGACCGTAATGATGGTAATATTTCAGGCCAGTGGTACAGACTGAGAGTGTAACCCGGGGAAGTGACCCGGGAGCTGCACAGAGAACAAGCTTATGTCAGCACTTACGACTTCGTCTTCACTGTATCCCCAGAAGCGGTCTCGCTATGTCCCCCAAGCTGGCCCGACTCGAACTCAAGCAATCCTTCTGCAACCCTGCATCCTCCCGAAGCAGCTGGGGCTGACCACGCATGGCAGCGCGGTCAGTGAAGACCTCCTCTGCCCCACCTCGGGGCTGGAGACTGAACCACCCAGCACTGCGCACACGATGCAACCTCTCTACCACTCAGCTATAGATCTAGTTAGGCTTCTCCATATGATAAACATTATATCCATATAGAAAGAAAAATGCTGTCAATGAAACAATGATACAGTGTTTCTCTTCTTAGGGGGTTGTCATTCTGAGAATTCCTTTAGGCTGACAGAACAGAGTTTTACTGTTACTCTGTGTTTCCATTTCAATACCTCACTACAGTGAGATACTTTTGAAGGTATTTAATTTAATAATTATGATCAACAATAAAGCATCCAACTAAATCAAATTAGCATGATCAGCTCTGATCAAGTTCATGCCTAGGTAGGCAATCGCAATGTCCTTATTACTAACTGGTAACAATTTTAAGTCATGTTATAAGGGGGAAAAAAAGACAGCTCAGAGTCAATGAGGCAGAGCTACATCTTTTCTGTCCAACTACTAGACGTTTTTCTTAATTTAATTTGGTTTATTTTTTTGAAACAGGGCCTCATTCTAACTCAGGCTGGCCTGGAATTCAGTATGTAGTCAAGCATATAGTGACTCACAAATTCACAGCAATCCTCCTGCCTCAGTCTTCTGGGTGCTAAGATTATAGACATACATCATCAAACTGCCAGAGTAAACTCTGAAAACACAGAGTCATGTCTAGTTTATTCTTGCACACTACACAGTCAAGAAATATTTGTTAATGAAAGATCCTGGTAAATGTTGATCTTTCTTTGGCTACAATTATTATAGTAGGTCATACTAAATAAATGAGGCATGTATTCTTGAGCAACTCCCTCTGGCTGCAAGCTTTATAGTCGAGTTTATTTTCTAAGCCATTTCATTCTTTTTTCAGGAACAATAAAACCTGAAGGCTACCCCTCACACCAGAAGAGTGTGAATGTAACAATTAACAGGGAAGTTAGTAGGAAATGCCTATTTCTAAGCTTCAATACAAAAAATCCTGTTTCAGCCACTCTGGGGTGAGGTATGAAAATCCACATTTCAATAAGGACATACGAAAGCCCTAATTTTACCCAAGCTGATCTTCAGCAACACTGGGAAAGGAAGGGCAGATAACCAAAGAATCACACAAGGATCTCCAGCATCCTACACCTACCTCCCCATCGGTCCCATAAATGGTTCCCCTATTCCAACACTAGGGGTCTCCTGCTGAAAAGTGATTTTTCAGGCCAGGACAGAAGAACACAGACCCCTAATTACTTCACAGGAAAACAGTGCCTAGCTACTAGGAAGCCCTCTCCAGAGAATTTCATACATAAAAGATGAAACTCTGCAAGGCTAAGTTTCTAATACACTGTGCTGCTTTTAAGTACTAGCAATAACCCTATCGAAAATATTGTCCATACATGCCTAGTCACACAACAGTATGCCTGTATGTACATATACATAATCCATGGAATCGACAAACTACAGCAAGAATACATCACATACATCAGATACGATCATGAACAAAATGCATAATCTTCCTCGGGAAGCTCAAAATAATGGAAGTGTGTGTGTGTGGAAATGTAGATTCAGGAAGGGGTTACAAAGTGCATAGATAAACCATACAACTTCCAGTTCTAATCCAGAGAAGGTAACAGGGTGCAACTTACCACCCATCTGATACAACTGAAAAACTACAAAAACAACGTTCATGCCATCGGGCACCAAAAGACTCTGATCATCCAGAAGTGGGAAACAAAGCGAGCCCTGGGTCATGTGAGCAGATGAGGTATTAGGACGTTTAAAACGTATGTTCAAGAAGTAGAAGTAAGGGCTAGCATGCTACACAACAAAAGCAAACTCTTGAAAGTTTCAAACTTTGGACATGAAAACTACCAAGTCTGAAATAGGATGGGTACTGCAGAAGGAATGAGAAACCATCCACCATGAAACACAAACGAAGGGAAAAGACAAAAAAGAAGAAGAAAAAAGAGTAGACTAGAACCCCACACTCTAACATACATATAATAGAAGATGAAGAGAGGAGACGTAAGAATGGGAAGGATTTTTGAAACTGAAGCCAAAATGTCCAAAATTTTATGAAAACCAAAAATCTACAAGAGTACACCACACTCCAAGTGTACATGATATGTGCACCTACGTACGTACGTACACACACACACACACACACACACACACACACACACACACACACACACCACAGCTATGAAGAAAACTATACTACCCAGGGAAATCAGAAAACTGCTTACAGAAGATTCACAGCAGCAAGAAAGCAAAGACATGGCACACAGAGCAACTTCCTGTGAATTTGTCGCTGTGAGAGCCAATGTGTGCTGGGGGACAGCAAAGCACCATTTTTGAATACTAAGAGGAAGAATTCATACATCAGCCTCCAAGTCTGCACCAATGAAATAAAAAACTAAAGTAGAAAGGGACCTCACATCATAAGCAAACAGGAAACATGTTAAAGGTGCCCCTTAAACAGAAAGAAAAAGCCAGCTGGAAATCTAGACACACATGAAACAAAAGAGCAGCACTAGAAACAGTAGCTATGTAGAGAAAACCAAAGATTCTTACTCATTATTTACATTCCTTCAAAATAATCAAATGTTTAACACAAAATAAAAATGCATGATGAGATTTAAAATATATGAAGTATATGATAATCACTGAACAGAGCTGGAACTGAAAAAGAAAGAGTTCTGCCAGGCAGCGGTGGTGCACACCTTTAATCCCAGCCGTCGGGAGGCAGAGGCAGGTGGATCTCTGGGAGTTCGAGGCCAGCTTGGGCTACAGAGCGAGATCCAGGACAGGCACCAAAACTACACCGAGAAACCCTGTCTCAAACCCCCGCCCCCCCCAAAAAAAAGAAAGAAAAAGAAAACAGAGTTCTAAGATCTTATACTGTACATAGGTAGTATGCCACAAGAAAGAAGATAGTGACAAATTAAGAGTGTACTATAAACTATAAACCAGGTTAACGCCACAGTTAGCCAGGAAGCCAAAGAAAGTAAATTACCCAAACTAATGAATTAATACTAGAGGAGGAATAAGATAGGAGATCAAAGAGAACAAGAGAAAACAAATAGTAAGACAACAGACTTAGCCAATTTCATTAATATTGCACTAAGTATAAACGGCCTAAACACACCAGTTACAGGGCACATATTAGTAGAAAGGATAAAATTCAAGACTTACTTTGAACAGGAAGGTACAAATAAATTAAAGGATGGAAACAAGGCAGACAAGAATCACCAGAATAAGAAATGGCCAATGACGTAATTTTGATTCATAAGTTACCAGAATTTAGAAAGTATTTTCATATTCAAGTCCTCCTCAAGACTTGAGTCCTAAGCTAACATTACAACGATATTATACTCATCCTAAGACAATTCAGTATGTACATGGTCACACATCATAATCCTTTCAGTTACCTCAACACAGCTCTAAATACTACAAACTGAAGATTTCAAAAGAGATTCCCAGTGTAGCTATGAACACACAAAATATAAATAAATGGGGGGAAAATGAGAAGGCCGTGGTGGATAGATGGTGGAATACATGCCCAGACAATGTCATGGCATGAAAGAAATAAGTGTTTGACGTATTTTTCTCAGTTTTTAAAATACAAATTGGTATTTGACCACAGCTGTCAAATTTATGTACATAGTATTTTTCTTATCATCCCTAAATTGTACTTTTGCTCTCTGTGGGATCAGGAGTAATACCTGTTTTACTCTTAATATTGATAATCTATACCTTTTTTTAAACTTTTCTTTGCCAGAGGTTTGTCAGTTTTATCGATGTTTTAAAGAATCCGTATTTTATTTGTTTTCTATTTCTCTTGTTAATTTCACTGAATTCTGCTCTCACTCTTTACCATTCCCATTCTGCTACTCACTGGGTTTGACCTGACTTTTGTTTTTAGGCTGATGAAGTAAGATTGTTCATTTATGACTTCTCCTGGGCTAGAGAGATGGCTGAACAGTTAAGAATGCTTGCTGTACCATCATGAAGACTAGAGTTCAGATCCCCAGCATCCATGAGACAAGTCTAGCCCATAACCGCAGCTCCAGGGGAGTCAGAAAGATCACTGATGCTTGCTATCTTCTAGCCTAATCTAGAAAAAGGGTTCAAGGAGAGACTCTGCCTCAAAGGAATAGGCAGAGAACGATAGAGGAAAACACCCCATGCCTGTGACCTCTGCGCGTGCGCGCACACACAGGCAGATGTACCATCCCCTACACACACATACACACACACACACACACACACACACACACACACACACACACATTTCCCATTTCCTAATGCTATGCAGTTCTCTCTGCAATTCAATTTCAGTCTGGGGATGGGGGGTAGGATAAGGGCTGGCCATAAATTTAAAGACAAATGGAAAAATATATCAAGGAAAGAAAGTTCTCCGATGTAAAATACAGACAATATTCACAATCAGCAGAAAAGAGGTGACATTACTAAAACATTCCTCCAAGTGAAAAGAACTAGCCTGGAGGGCTTCGGTGAGGGACTCCCAAGCCAACCACGTAAGGCGACAGACAGTTCTTGTGGGATACAATCGGTAAGACTGTGTAAGGACTAAAGCTAGACAGACAGCAGTCGGGACAGAGCTTCGGAATCCCATTCCTCCGGTTCCTATTCCTAGGCAGAGCTTCTTTATCACTCAAGCAATTTCACACACTACGGATGCGGTCCAATGAGGCTGAGTCCACGTGAAGGGGAAGAGCAAAACTGTGAGGCTGTGTTTACGAGCTGCCATCCCAAGTCATCACTGGAACAGAATACACAGAAGGACAACAGGGTTTCCTTACCCTCTGGGCTTTCGCCAGTTCTTCTTTTAACCTTTCGTAGCCCTTTTCTCTAACTTCCAGAACAGATGGGCTTCGTAAACGCGACAGGCTATCCGTACTCAGCCCAAAGATATCATCGCTGCCGGCGGGAGCCTCTGTGACGGTGGCGCCCTGCAAAAACTCCCGCTCGGCATTACAGCTGTCCTTCCTTGAAGTTAACTTGATGAGTCCCACTGCCACTCCAGAGGGGACAGACGAGGCCGGGTCCGGAACATGGACGCTGCAAGGAGAGACAGCTCAGAGGGGATGCCATAAAAGTTCCCATGAAGAACCAGCCCATCTCCATTTAACTAACGGCAGCTCCTCCTACCAGCCACACGTCAAGCGCTCAACAGCCGCATGTGGCTAACGGCTATCATTCATATCGTGCACAACATAAGAAATATTCTCATCACCACAGAAAGGGCTACTTCTCGGGAACAGGGGTCATGAATTGCAGTTGAAGGCTAAATCAAGTCTCCACTGTTTTCCGAAGGCCCACAAGCCAGGAATGGATCACAAGGAATCAGTAACACTGTATGACCTGTGTTACTTGTATGAAATTTCTGTGGCCACAGGTTTTATTGGACAGTCATTTATTTACAGACTGCCTATGGCTGCTTTTACACTGTTAAAAACAACTTAGGAACTGGTACAAGACCTGCATGGCCTGGGGCTGGAGAGAAGGCTCAGTGGTTAAGAGCACTTGCTGTTCTTAGAGGACACAGATTTGAATCTCAGCACTGACGGCTAACAGGTCTGTAACTCAGTTCCAGGGGATCTGACACCCTCTTCTGGCCTCCTCAGGTACTACACATATGAGGTACACAGATATACATGCAAGCCAAACATCCATATAAAAAAAAAAAAAGTATATAAAATCTTAAAAAAAGAAAACTATATGGCCTGCTAAACCTAAAATATTTTTTGGTTTGGACACCTGTGTAAGTTTGCCAATTCCTGGTCTAAGGATTAAAATATATCACTCTACATGGGCATACTTATTCAAATTTTCTAAAAAAGGATAATTTAAGACAATCAAGCAAACTTTTAAAAATAACAATAATCCAAAATAATTGTGCTGGTGATCTCGTACCTAATGTTAGGCATCTTCATGCTGGTGATCTCATACCTGACATTAGATATCCTCGTGCTGGTGATCTCATACCTGATATTGTATCTGCCTGCTGATGATCTTATATCTGACATTGGGTATCTGTGTGACGGTGATCTCATACCTGATGTTAGGTATCTGTGTGACAATGATTGCATACCTGATGTAAGGTGTCTGTGTAACGGTGACCTCATACCTGACATTGGGTATCTGCATGACAGTAACATCATACCAGACATTGGGTGTCTGCATGACAGTGACCTCATACCAGACATTGGGTGTCTGCATGACAATGACCTCATACCTGACATTGGGTATCTGTGTGACAGTGATCTCATACCAGACATTGGGTATCTGTGTGACAGTGACCTCATACCTGACATTGGGTATCTGTGTGACAGTGATCTCATACCAGACATTGGGTGTCTGCATGACAGTGACCTCATACCTGACATTGGGTATCTGTGTGACACTGATCTCATACCTGATGTTAGGTATCTCCGAACAGTTTAAACGCCTAGGAGATGAGTACACAGGTTGTGTGGGAAGATCAGAAAGATCTAAGGCGTTAGCCTGGAGAGGAGCAGAGCATAAAGACGAAGGGTGTGGCCGATAGATGACGCTCGGGGAGGTCGTCTGCTCTAGGGTTCCTGGGTCACACACACCAAGAAGGTCCGGAGAGGTAGGTGAAGCAAGGTTCACTTCATGGAAGCCTTCCAAGGGGTCATCAGCCATAGCAAAGGCCTCATCCTAAGACCGTCTACGCTAAAGCCAAAAGAGTACAAATGTTTTTAGGGACTTAGTTCAAAACTAAATCAAAATACATGAGCTGTAAAATAATCCATATAAAGCATAAGCTTACAGTATGTAAGTGCACATGTCTACAGTGAGCACAGAAGACAACCCCTTCAAGCACTCAGAAGACTGTGCTCCTGTGAAACATTCATTCATAGCCATTAATAACAAGTATGCAAAAAAAATACTTTCTACAGTATTATTCAAAGATTTTACAAAGTTTATGCAAAAAAGACGTCTCCCTCAAGCTGTTCTCTTAAATGTAAAACATTTAAAAATTATTTTAAAAAAATCTTGTGAACTGTTCATTGATTTTTTTTTTTTTTTTTTTAATCTACAGGGAAAAGGGCTGGAGAGATGGCTCAGAGGTTAAGAGCACTGGCTGCTCTTCCAGAGGACCTGAGTTCAATTCCCAGCAACCACATGGTGGCTCACAACCATTTGTAATGAGATCTGGTGCCCTCTTCTGGCATGCGTACAGAATACTGTATAAATAATAAATAAATAAATTTTAAAAAAAATCTACAGGGAAAAGTCCCAAAAACTAAAGCTTCAAAAGCCCTGAACCCACTCCTTTCCAGTCTGGTCCTTCCTCCAGAAGCATGGGGACTATCGTGAGCTTCTCAGAACCTCCCCAGACCTTCAAGTCAAGCAGCAGATGGACACGTCACCTCTTCCACAAAACACAGAAATACTCATTCACTTGCTAAACTGAAAACCTTAGTTCTCACATATCACCAATAAAAAAAAAACCTTAAAAAATATCCAGCAGAGAATAAAAAGGCTGTGGAAAGTAGACACAATATTAACATTCTCCAAAATTACAGATTACTATGTGACCACTTATGAACAACCAAAATTTTATCAAATAAATCTATAAATGCCCAACTTCAAACTAAGTAAATTTACTAATAACCAATTTGTTAAGAGCAAATGGTAGCTTCGGTCCTCAAAGTTCAACTACTTTAACTCAAAATACTTACCGTACCAAATGAAAGCTCGGACAGTACTTTCTAATTTCCTTTTTTCATCTAAAAGAACCATTTTCATTTTTTACATAATTCACACATATGCAAGCCAGGGAAAGTCAATGCTAGCCGAAAGCATACATTTCATTTTCATATAGTTTACTAATTAAGCCATGCTAAGGTAGAGAAAACAAACAACTCTGAGATGTGTTTACACTAAACTGACATTCAGGAAACTTGGGCGATCTCATTATGCACAGAATCGTTAAGCTCACTCACCGGTCGCCTCTTCGCCCTCTCCCGCTCTTGCTGATGCTTTGCTTTTCCCAACCAGCGCCCTCCATCCCCGGGTGCCTATTCTACCTGTGCAAGTCTTATGCGGGTGGCCACAGCTGCCGTATGCCCAGCACTACAGCAACCACGCCACGTCCACAGAACAGCTTCTGGGGGCGTCCCTCCATCCTCTGGCTCTTACAACCCTCCCACCCCTCTTGGGGATGTTCCCTGGGCCAGGCAGGGGCATCACTTAGGGCTGAGTACTCAGCAGTCACTTATCCTGAGCACCCTGGCCACTTCGGATTCTCTGCGTTAACTATCGCCCTCTGCAAAAAGAAGTTACTCTGACCCGAGCGGGGCGCACACTAGCCTACAATAATAACGCAAATATCTAGAAGGCACTTAGGCTGCTGCGTGTCCAGTGCCAGTAAAACACCAGGAGCACGTTCTGTGCCACAGCCTGTGACGTCTCCAGCTATAGGTCTACGACCAGGTTCACAATGTCAATCATGGAGCAGTTCTCAAAGCGAATCAGGAAGCGACTGGTTAATCCCGCCACATTCCTGTCACTACTGCACAGTGGGCATGTCTCGCTTTGCAAGTCAGGATTGCAGCATGCAGGATCCAACGCTGGATTAGACCACTGACAACTTTTCTACCCCGGGAGACTTCACAGAACCTTCTGGTACTATGAAGACTCACTAGGCAGCAGGAGGAAGCACCCAGCTCAGTGCCAGCCTGCTGAGTGCCAGTCTTACATCCAGTTCATGGTATCTCCTTCAGCAAAGGGTTCTTACCATCTAGGTCTGGGGTTAGCCAGAGGCAACGGCAGGAGCCTGTATTCAAAGTGACATTTTATCCGTAACTACGACCCTTCCTTTTACTCCACGTATATCTAATCCAACATTGTGTACCTTAAAGGCTCACTGAATTACAGAGTACAAGAGCATCTTAATTTCTAGAAATGGAAAATGAGACAAATCTTCTGGAAGAAAATGTGGCAATACCTAGCAAAGTGACAGGTTCGTGCAGCATATGACCCAGCATGCTCTTAGGGATTCAGGCCAGGATACACAGGCAAACTGGAAAAACAAAAAAAGATAAGTGCATCATTTGTAACAGCAGAGGACTGGCTGTGTAAGGGGAGGCAGAGCCTCGTAATGAAGTGTTACTTGTGTATGTAAAAGATGAACAGTATCAACACACACTGCTGTGAACGACCTTGAGGATATACCGGTAAATTCAAGAACAGGGAAAACAGCTGTGTATAATACACTACTTTTTAAAATGTTCACCCCAGCGCACGTGTGGAGGACAGGAGACAGTTATGTCCTTCCACAGGCCATGGAGGCCTAGAATCACACACAAGTTGGTCACGTTTGTTCACCGGCCCATAAGCTACTTCTGAATCTAGGAAAGGAGAGTAAAAGCATGAATGTGTTTATCTGCGTATGGAATATATGTAATTGCACAGACATACATGCTGATTTTAGAACTGGAAGGTTATATTAAAAACAGAACCAAAAAAAATTGTCTATAGAGGGAGGGGGAACCACGCATGAAGGCCAAACTTCTCTCACTGTGTCATTGCAAGTTTGATTTTAACTTGAAAACATATGAATATTAATTTTTTAAATCTTTGAAAGTAAAAACATCTAACAGAGATGGTAGTTTAACCACATACAAAAAAGGTACTTCATATAACTTTAAAACAATAATGTAAAGTAGATCCTAACAATGTTTTCTAAGGACAAATACAATAGAAATATCATAAACTATGGACAAATACAGTAGAAATATCATAAACTATTTCCAGTGATCATATTAGCAGCAATATTGATGTTTTTATTCTGAAACTATTATGCATATAAAATCAAGTAAGTTATCTTAATGTCATTTGTGACCAAGATGCTTTTAGATATGACAAAAGTTTAATACAAATACAAAATCAAAAAAGCTAAATCTTAAGAGTCTTTAAATCAAAAATACCACTTTTTCCCTCTTATGGTAAGACCCACTAGTCAGTTTAGGAACTACTATGTGACTCACTGAAGACCCTGAAGCCCTCTGTTAGTGTGTTCGTGGCAACTGTGATCCTTCTCTAGACCCATTGAACTTATATGAAGTTGATTCTTTTAAAAATACTTTCCTCACGATCTAAGCCAGCTGTATGATATACCAGAATGTAAGGGTGAATTCATTTTTCCTTTTATTTACCAGTTTTACAAATAATGAATTGATCCCAAGTGTCTTCTGTGACAGTGTGTGCTAAATGCCACAGAAGACACGAAAGTCAGGGGCTAGGAAATGGCTGGGAGCAAAGAGCTGCATGCCCGGAATCCATGTAAGAAGTAGGATGTACTGGCATGTGCTTGTAACCCCAATATTGGGGGGGGGGGGGACTAGAGGACTCTGGGGCTCTCCTTAGGCAGCCAGGCTAGCCTACAGGACAAGCCCCAGATTAATGACGCCCCATCTCAAAAGACAAGGTGGACGGTGCCTGAGAAACATCCGAGATTGACTTCTGGCCTCTATAAATACACACATGTGTACCGACAGACAGACAGATACACACACACACACACACACACACACACACACACACACACACACACACACAATCACAATACAGGAGAAACAAAGAGAGCAAAGGCAAAGAAATGCAGAAATAACAAGTGAAAACCCCCACCATGAAAAAACATGAGACAAAGTTCTCGGTAGGGTGTTCAGGTGTCCAAAGGTATGGCCTCAAAACACTCACAAATAAATACCAACAGCTAAAATGTAAGACACAAAGCAGCAGAGCGGATTGGGCCTGATTCTGCTGAATTACCAGGACAATCTGTGCATACAGTTCTCACACCTGGAATCTGTACCCTGATTTCTACCTTAAGGGCTGATACTGAGAAGCAGGTTAGCACACAGCAGCAACCCTGAGGTGTGTCTGCCTACAATGTTGCTGTTTTGATGATACACTTCCAACATGGTTTAAAGTCAAATCCCCTAAGATTAATTTAGTCTCCAGGGACAGAGGGGACCTCGGGCTCTTGCAGAGGCCTTGGGTCTGGTTTCCAGCACCCACATGGTTCTTACAACTATCCATAACTCCTGACGGGAGACCTGGTGCCCCTTGGGGCCTCTGGGGGCACTGCATGCATGTGGCTCACACACCTGCATGCAAAGACCACAGGTGATTTCCAATCCACGAAAAACTGATCAGAACAATGTGCTTCTGGGTGTTAATGTACACTTGGTGTTACTGTTTGGAATTCAGCATTCTCACAACAGAAACAATGGCCAACCTCTACTGAAAGTTAACCTTCACATGGGGATTTAAGAAACTCCCAAGTATTAACTGATTAGATGATGCCCAGCAAAAGCCAAACAACTTCTTACAAAAATGACATTTTTCTATGTAAAATCCATGCTTGAAATGAAAACTAAAGGATCCCTAAGTCAGCTCAAATTATCAGGATGAGTTATTGGTAAAGTGTTTTCCATGAAGTATCTTAGAAGTTGGGTATGGTAATACACACCTGTCATCCCAGCATCCAGCTAAAGCTGGAGCATCTCCAGTTTGAGGCCAGCCTGAGCTACATAAGGAAACCCAGTCTCAAAAAAAATATATATATATATAAATAAATTATCTGAGGACATGAATAAAATGCATATAAATAATTTAAATGACAGCTACGAACCTGATACATATTAATAGTCTAAGTGAACAAAAACAACAACAACAAAAAATCTTCCCACTGTGTATTCCCAATTTGACTTCCCTTGACAAGTGAGAAGCAGAAAAAGAACCACATTCCCAAACCAACTTGATATATCTGAAAATTAATTTGATTCTCTATTTATAAAAAGTGTGGAAAACTACAGTGTAGAAATAAACAAAGATTATATGGTATCAAAGTAGAAACACTCGTGCCTGAACAGGAAAGCTAAGGATCTCACTTTCCAAACATTTCTTAAAATTGTTATTACTGTATATGAGTGTCTGTAAGCATGAGAATGTCACAGAGCCCATGAGGGTCAGAAGTCAACCTGCAAGTGTGTGGCCAATCCAATCTATATAAGGTCCAGGCTGACCCAGGCTATATGGTGAGACCCTGCCTCAAAACACCAAAAAAGATTATAAGTACTATTTCCTTCTTTCAATTTATTCTTTACAGACTACTAAGCGGTGCATGAAGGGCTGGGAGCACAGGCTATATGTGCCCCCAACTTTTTTGTCTTCTCTTTTTTTAAACAGGGTCTCACTAGGTAGCCCTGGCTGATCTAGAACTTTCTATGTAGACCAGGCTGGCCCCAAACTCAGTTCACCTGCTTCTTGAGTGCTGGAATTAAAGGAATGTGCCACCACCCCTGGCCAGATTTTTTTGTTGTTGGTTTTTTGAGACAGGGTTTCTCTGTGTAGCTTTGCGCCTTTCCTAGAACTCACTTGGTAGCCCAGGCTGGCCTCGAACTCACAGAGATCTGCCTGGTCTGCCTCCCAAGTGCTGGGATTAAAGGCGTGCGCCACCACCGCCCCCCCCCCTTTTTTTTTTTTTAATTCTCAGATGACTTTCAAATTTAGCGTGAATTTTTGAAGAATGGCTCCTGACATTAAACATCAGATTGCTACTTCAATAGTATATCGTGAATTGAAGTGTTACAAATTCCACGTATTAGTTCACTTCCTTAAACACCTCCGTCGACTTCCAGTACATACAACAGAAGGCCAGCTTCAGCTCTCCGGGGCACACCCTGTGCCGACATCTAAGAACACAGCAGTGGACAGACTAATCAATGACAGGTGGCCCATCGGAGCCGGGGATGAGCCTGCAGGCACAGGGAATGAATGAAGCAGAGTAAATTATAACGTACATCTTAAATGCTAAGCAGGCGTCCACGAGAGTGACAAGGCAGGGAATAAGACGGGACGCTCAGGGAATAAGGGTCCGACACTAAGGAAACTAGCGAAGGAAAGACTGACAGAAAATCAAGCGGGGGAGGCAGCTGAGGGACACACCATTAAACGCTTCATTTAACAGGAAAATGGTGCTTGGCGTTTATCCTGAAGAGCCAGACCTTCATCTTGGGAAGTGCGGCCAAACTAGAATGCAATCATTAGAAAAGAGGACTCCAAGGCGGTACTGGTTTTAACTGGAGGCAATTGGGTGAACGGTTACCACAAAGGGCTACATAAATTATAAAGGTCAGACCAACGCCCAGGTGACACCCCGGGGAGACCTAGGGCAGGAGTTAGTTTTATTTTCATCTGCATATACACACGACCTAGCTGAGCATCACAGCATCCCTTTAAAATGGTCCCAATCCTCATTTCACAGAAACAGACTCCGAGACGGCAATTAGTCGAGGTCAAAGAGCCCACAAATAAGATGCAAGTCCTGATGTGTCTCATCCTACCACCTGACTCCACTAAAGACGTAATTAAGACCAAACTGACCGGAAGACAGGCGCAGCAGACAGAGCCAGAAAGACAAGGGCTTCTCAGGCCAATCTCACCACATCAACCCTAAGAGGTGATGAACATCCACACGGGAAAATACTAACATCTGAACTCTTCCTACTCTGTAGTTCCTTCCACACAGCCTTGAAACCAACACCGGTGACCACTCTGTGCCCTTCCTATTCTTGCCCTCTGGTTGGCTGCAATCATGTCCTCGTTATTCAGTACTTGGAGATTTTTTAAAAACTTGTTAAAGTCTTTTAGAGAGCTCTGTGTGTGTGTGTATGTATGTGTGTAGGGGTGTGGGTGTTGAGGTGTGTGTGTGTGTGTGTGTGTGTGTGTGTGTGTGTGTGTGTGTGTGTGTTCCTGTCCCTGTGCATGTGGGGACCAGAGGACAATAGCTCTGGGGGTATCACTCAGGTACCATTCACCCCTGCTCTGCACAAATGTCTCTCGCTGACCTGGAGCTCATCAATTATGCTAGGCCAGCTGGCTGGCGAGCTCCAGAGGTCTGCCTATTATTTCAGACACTGGAATCCCCAGTGCAGCCACCAGACTAGACCTGTGGTGGTTTGAATGAGGAATGTCCCCCATAGGCTCTCGTATACAAAACTTGGTTCTCTGATGTTTGGG